ACATCGTTTCTGGTCCCTCTGACGTCACTTCCGGTTTTACGTTGTTGATATAACTCAATTAACCCTGACCCCTTCAATGCATCATTCCATACAGTTATAGGAGTTAAAGTGCGTGAAACAAGAATACGAACGCTCCTGCCCCAAAACCCGAAGGTAAGAGATGGAGTTAGTATTGGGGTCCTTCACCAATACCAGTGGCTTTCATAACTATCTCACCTTGTTTAACGAAAGATTCCTCCATATGTTGTCCTCTAAATAACTTGAGTCCGAAACCTTAAGTCGGCTAATTTTTCTCCACAAACTCTGGTAAAGTCCTGCACGTGAGACAGGAATAACCCTCCAAGTAGCAGACAGAGGAAAAATCGTTGGCATATAGTTCCGACACCCGAGCTGCGGTTGCAAATGTCATCAGGAAGGCTGTCTTAAACGCTAAAAACTTTAAAGGTACAGATCGCAATGGTTCAGAAAGTGCCTTCAAGAGTGCTTGAAGAACCAGACATAAATCCCACTTTGGAAATAAAGATGGCGAGGAGAGATCTCTGAGTTGGAAAGACCTTACTAATCTGTGCAAGGATATATCGGAGCCAACGGCCAGACCTTGCAAATGACACACAGAGGCAATAGCCAAACAGTAACCCTCCATTGTCCCCAATTTAAGTTTCCTGTGATCACGTAAAAATAGCAAAAAATCAGCTATCATAGGTATGGAGATAGGGTGTCAGAGGAGCTGTGAATCATTTCCATCGTGTGTCATAAAGGAGGGCTGTCGATGGACTGATAGATTGAGAGATGGCATGCGTAGCATCGGGTGTGAAGCCCTGTTTCTCTAGGGATGACTGGATAGTCGCCACAGCAGTCAGCAGCATCCTGAGAAGAGATAGCCTGATTACATTTGCTGTAAAACAATGATGTGGCTTCCATGGGTTGTTGGAATAGTTTTGTGATTCCAGAATGTTCCTAACACCAGTTAAGAGATACACCTGTTCCAAAGCCAGATGATGTCCCATGATATCAACTTGCATGACTCACATCTGACACTGCATGATACACAACATCTAAAAAAGAGTGGGCCAAGGCTCTCTCCAGAGCCGACATTGCCACATTGTATCCTGTTTAATCCCCGAGTAGTTTTAAAAAACTGGAGGAATTGATTGCCTCACGGTTGCGACAAACCAATTCACATATGAGAGGATATCGATAAACGAACGTGCTGCCTGATCTAAGTCCCTTAAATCCCTTTGAGCTACAGGAATTTTTTGAGAGGACAAATGAGTAGACCTGGGGTCAAGGCACAGAAAGTCCTTATCCAGGTCAGGAGTAGCGGAAGGGAAAATCCAATCATGAATGAGATATGATTGCCGATGAGGAATCTTGGGTAATGATTGAACATTGGAAGCTTCGGACACAGTTTCATTAAAAGAATTCAAAGCCGAACGGACCACCAAAGGGTGGGTAACTGCTAACTTGGGTGCTTTTTGAGGCACTAGCGAGCCAGAGGACCCCAGTTCACCCTGTGTCATAGAAACCGGAGGTACTGTACATGGTTTCAATTCATTGGGTAAAACCACTTTATCAGCGTAATAGGGCCAATCGGGAACAGCCTCCGTTTCCATTGAGGGGATTGTGATAATTCCTTCATGGATTGATAGTTGGGCGTCCGTGACTTGGTAAATCCCCTGGGTATCAGATTCCAAGAGATCTGGGTGAATAGGAATAAGCAGGGAGTTATTTACATCAATGAGTGTATCACCAGACTGACGGTCCATAGCCGTCGGAACCGCGGAAATGCCCGTGGCTACATTCTGAGTGATATTTGTGCCCAGTCCAGCAGGCCGTGACTCCGGGGTCTTCCCACTTACCCAACTCCTATTGTTTCAGTAGAAGAAATCTGAGTCAGCACCATGGCTGGCGTCAAGTCAACAGGCTGTGAGAGCGTGGCTGTAGAATTACCCCCGTGGGTTTTACGGCTAATTAACTGCGAGGTCTGATTTCGATGGGAAGTAGATAGTGTATTTGAAGTCCAAAGTGGTTAAGCCAACTGATAAAAAAAATAAATGACCAAGAAACAGTCAGACTAAAATATCCCCAGAGATATGAAATGTAAGCCCAATGTTAAAGATTAAGGTTGATTAGTTACATACAAATACGATATTATTGTTTTGAAACTGGTAGCGATTATAATTACATTTCCTAAAATTGGTCGAAGCGCACGTACAATCTCCATAACAAGCCTGCAAGATCGTCAGAAATACACTCAGTTTGACCCATGAGAGCAGTTATGTCAACAAACGCACATGCGTGTATTTGAATCTCTCACCGTCACTCGCATGATTCTTATTAAAAACTTCATAATAGGCAGCAAAATCCTTTTAGCTACGTTCTTTGTACTTTCAATATGACAATATATATTTTTCATGATTTTTTAAACAATGACATAATGCCATAAACAATTTAAGTACTCGGGATTATTTTTATCAAAGCACCGCGCTCATTTACGCGCGTTCTGATTTGTTTGTCGTATTTTCGCACATAACAAGTATCGAGTGGGGTACGAGTCTTCTTTGAGGTTACGGAAAGGGGCGAGTGATGACGAATGGATTGGATCCTATGCAGGTAAGATTGCCTCCCTTTGATTTCTTAAATTTTAATCTAAGGGTAGTCTGTAACACATCACTAAGTGAAGAGGAAATGGCTAACACAACCCAGAGGGAATGTTTACGAATATAATTATTCTTTTTTGAGAGAATTTGAAAGCATTACAGTACATTTTGAGCAGTGGCCTTATAAAGGCCAACTCAACTGTCTGTAACATCTTATTGTAGTAGCTGTATCAAAATGTAAAATGAAAAGCAACCCTACTTGACCTCAATCTGTTAATGTAAGAAGACAGAAGGTTTTTTACCTAGATATTTAATCATGTCATGTAAACATATTATGTCTATTACCCATGAGATTAAAAACACATTTGATTTATTAAACTAAACAACCCTACTTTGCCATAGCTAGAAAAATCTGAAAATTTGGTAACAGGTGTATAGTTTTTAACTTTAGTACACAACAAATGCTTATATATATTTCCTATACAACAATTAAGTTCCATTTGTATCAAACAGTGTCTACCTCTAAGTGTGTTTAAAATTAGAATTGCATGCAATACAGCCATTACTACTCCCTTGCTGTAACCTGTGTTTGGTGGCATAACCCTACACATTATTTGTCATTCCGAAGCTCTGTAAATGAATTTATAGCAGGTATAATTAGTGATAACACCACTCAGATTACCCGACAAAGGTTCCCAATGGCATTTCTCGTGACTGGAGTAAATACTCAATATTATAAATTAAGGTCCGATGTGGCAAATGTATTACATGTTATGTAATATGCGGATAGAAGTGCAGCAAGAGGAATTATCAGCTGAGTTACAAAAACAAACATCGATCAAAGGATTAACCGATAACACTAACACTGATTGATTAATTACTTTTATCCTGCATAGCGGATTTGTCAAAAGGTAATGTTTATGTATGTAGATTTACTAACGTACATTGAATATACCCACATTTCGTCAAAGTTCTGTGTGAAAACAACGTCCTTCCTTCAAAGGATTAACTGCCAATACATTGATTGCTCATTGTTGGCTAACTAAATTACATTTTTAAAGAATGGTGGATATCATGCAAGTAGTTGTTAGGTGGGCCGTCTTGGGTGACCAATGAGACTATAAACCAATGTGAAAAACATGAAATAGTCACGTGACCAGTTGATAAACTATCACTAGTTATGATGTTATATCACTTTTTTGCTTATTAGACTGTTAAAAGACACATGAAATGGAACAGGATTCTTGATCAGCTGCCGATGAATGGCGTATCGTTCCTTTTTGTGGATATTGATAGATACATTCCTCGAACAATGTAATAGACTAAAGATATAGCAATGATATCAGCCTGTTTAAAATTTGGTATTAGTATTTTGTTTATATTAATTTGTACTAGCATTCACAGAATCATTTGTTTTCAACGTGAAGTGTAATGAGACAGACAACATATACTAGGTCGCACTTAGGACCATTAATAATTTATGGCTGGGGTGGGTGGGTGGTGGGAATGATGATTTTTATGGAGAAAGCATGTACAATGTGGATGAACCCATCCCCCCAATTTATGTCCCCACCTGCATGTCATGTACAAAGTCAATGACCCCTATACCCCCCTTCCCTTATTTTTAAATATTTATGTGTACAAAATTGATGACCCCCTAGAAACGTGTATAAAATTGATGACCTTTCCCCTAGCTCCCCAGATGAACAGGTGTGACTTCTAAACACCCCACCCCCACCCCGATGAAGTCAAACTTCAAATGTTTTCATGTGTTATCATATTAATGAAGATGGAAATATCAATGAGTAAAAAAGTTCTCATCTTTGTTGATCAATGTATGCTTATACTACCAATTGCACTTGTGATTGCAGAGATCACAATCCAGTCAAGAATTCTGGGATATTATCCGGGTACTCACGGGAGAAAACCAGTCCACGGAAATTGCTCTGGATCAGTGCCCCTTTAAGAGGCCCCATATTTAGCAAAACATGTCAAGTTATGATTTTACAGGCAACTAATTCATTGTATACCTTGCTGTGGGCGTAATTTATCTCCATCACGAAGCAAAACTTTCCCAGTTCAGCAATGTAGCTAAGAGTTATCTCCCTCTGATGGTCGGTCCCACATTTGACAAACCATGTGTGTATTCAACTACCTATGTGTTACATGTGTTTCTATAGTTCCTTGAAATTGTTGACTGGGCCTGAAGACGATAATCTGTAAGAACCCTGTTCTTCATTCTTTCAATGTACAGTTGTTGAATCGAGCACATCATCAAACACCATTGTGCATCTTGCAGTCATGTCGCAAGAATTGTTTGTGTACAACATGTCCAGTTGTGTATGCATACTTCATATTCTCGTCATCTTGTGCCATGTCTGCCATATACAACACCAAAGCTAACCACAATACTTTGTTTATTAAAGTGCAGTACAAAGGATGTCATAGACCACAAATTACTTCCAGGTAAGGTCACATGATATACAATTTCCACAGTGCCACTACACTGGGGGAGGTTCTCTCACCCTTGTCCCTGGTGACTTGACTTCCTTGAAAGTATCAGTCTTTTTGCATGTAGAGTTGTCCAAGTTTCACCACCTCTTTCCTTGTGTTCTTCTCATGTCATCTACTTTGCGCTTTCTCTTTCCCAGGTCCACAACCTGTCTCATTCATATCCTGCTAACAAAAGCCTGGTCTAAGTTACTATTGTTTTATCATATTTATTTTGTCACCAGGTTTTGCGTACCAAATATACAAGCATTTAAGAATTACAACTGGTCCTCTTGCAAATGCTTGTGCCAATATATTTGTAGTTTGGCCATAAGTGTCCTGGAGTGCATCATGTTGTTACTCAACGAAAACTTCTCCATACAAGCACCTTATTTCCAAAAATATGTATTAAATACCTTTAAATCACACTACTTCACTCACGGCTTCATATGTATGCAAAATCTTTTGTTTTTTATTTGAATAATTTCCCCTATTTTAGTAACATTGCAAAGTTGACAGCATTGGCTTTTGGGACCAGCAGAACAGCTTAGAGGAGTAGCCATTGTCACACCTTAATTTTTAATGGAGCATTGTCATGTGCAACTTTCTCCATATTCAAGTTCAGTCCTTTTGTTTCTCCTTCGGTGTCTTTTTTAAAGACTTTTGTCGTGAATTCATTTTCTTGCGTTCTAATTTCCTGGATTTCTGCAAAACTTTTTGATCCTGAAATGCAATCAAACAAATGAGCCTGTGTGAACATAACTGAGTTTCCAAAGGGAACCAATATGTATGTTCTCAAATTGTTTCAATATTATAATACCCAAGTTCTTTTTCTATCAGAAGTACTTGCAACCAATGATCATTAGTGATTTGTGATTCATTTATCTTCAAGTTGTTACCATTTTATTCATTTGGACTTTCATACAGGTTTGTGCTCAATTGGTCTTGTAGATTCTGTGTTGTAGCATGTAGCATTATCTCCACTGTACCAGGATAAACAGTGCCCTCTTGGAATGCATACTTACATATGGGCAAAGAGGCTAGTCTCATAGTCCCTGAAGCATAATATTTTTCTCTCCAAGGCTAAATAACCCCAAAATGAAGAAAGCTGGGATTTTTTTGTTAAGTTGCTTGTTTCTATCCAAATGACATATTTTCAGAGACGAAACATTAGTCTGATAGACCTGGTACTTTAAAATCTAATCTAATAAGGTCACAGGTTGTGACATAAATAAAACATTATTCAAATTCAGGATTAATTACTTGACTGCTTAAAAATTACATTAATTATGATTTTTGTTGAGAAAATTAAAAGATCTATATCAAACTGTGCTTGTCACCTTTCCTGTGAACAAAGAAGCCATTATCCAAATCTGTAAACAATCTATTAAATGATTATCAAGTTATTGGGTGAATAAATTTAACATGAGAATTTCCCCCACAAGTTCAAGAGATTTAATTTCAACTTTGCACTGCTCCTCTCCTTCAGACAATGACAATGTTTCTGAAAACATTTTGACTAATACTTTTTCTGTCATTGGTGGAATAAACCTTAGTTCAAATTTGTAAACTGAAGTAATTTATAAAATATCACAATCAAAATCTGCAAAGCTCCTTTCTTTCAGACAAAGAAGGTGGTCCCCAAATTTGAAAATAATCCCACAAACAGTTTTCTAGTTATATGTTGAATAAATATGTTTGGACGGACAGCTGGTATTATTTGGTAGTTATTTAATATTCCTCCACTGATATATACCAGGTATTTCATTGCAACCTACTGCCTATGTGCACTGCTCAAACTCAACAAAGCTGTTTCTTAGAAAGCAACATGTTATTTTTCATTGTAGGGGTGTCTAGTTGTGGAAATGCAAGTTGTTTCAAAACTAATTTATGTCTGAAGAACAACTTATTGGTATGTTTTAGTTTTTTTTAAGTTGTAATAATAAACCCATAACAGTAACGCATGTACCGATGTGTCAGCCAATGTTGATTGGACCTTTTCACTTTGACAGTGCTTCTCAATTCACTTAAAATGTATTTCCTCTCACTGTAAACATCATCTCTTTAGAAACCAAAGGACCGAATTGACCTGAAACTTTGCATGCCTGTTCCCACAAATGATGATTGCTGAGGTTTGAATCCTATTTTCAGATCATCTGAATAATAATGTGACCACAAATGACTGACAACTTGTCAAAGAGGTCACCTTTGATTCTTGAAGATGTTTTCTCTTGATTATAGCCTTCTTTTCCCCAAAGTCCTGTTCATCCAGTTTCTGTAAATAATGCAGAGTATCAATGTGATGAAGCAGAAATGAAACTAAATTTGCGTAAAATTCCTTTAAAGATCTAAGGAACACTATGGACCAAATCTAAAACCAGTTTCAGCAGTTGCGGATGATCTTTGACCATATTGATCAATATGATGTGATAAGAGACAACTGTTGTCAAGAGCTATCCATATCCCAAATTGATTTAAACAGTATTTTATTTCCAATAATGTTTACATTTTTCAGAGTACACAACATAAGAAAATGGAAATAGGATCAGCTAACAGGCCATATGGCCTATGTCAATGCTTCTCCGCATATAATTCATTATTACCTTGACTTAATTCTATGGAGCAGACAATAGAACATTAATGAATGAATCAAAACAAAATAAAAATAAAGAAAAGAAAATAAAGAACAAGATACCAAGTGCATTTTATGTTTATAGGTTGTTACTTGAATTCCGTAAAGCGGTTAGTTTCAGTTATATAATTCTGTAATGGATTTTATTAGGTTTTCATTGTCTAGAGGAGATAAGTCGTCATTGCCGTGAAGTATGGTATATATGCTGAGGTGGTTAAGGACAAAGTATTTGTCGGGTCTAAACTGGGCATAGTGGGGACATGACAGAAAAAATGGATAGCATCTTCTCTGTTATGGCCACATGGACAAGTGGGATCATCAATCAGGAATCTGTCAAATAAGTGTGCTTTTAAATCACTACAACCTAGCCTAATTCTGGATAGGATCACTTGGTATTGTCGCTGGCCATAACTAGCAATGTATATAAAATTTGAAGAAATCTGAATATCTGTGGAAATCAATTGTTTGAACCTAGATAGGGAATCTACATTTCTGATATTGATATCAAGTGCATTCCATGCTTTAACAACAGAAGGCAGGAAAGATCGGTTATACTGGGATAAAGCCCAGCATTTGTCTGGAAGTCGTTGGAGTTCTGAAGGTTATATCCTGTTATGCTGGAGATACTAGGTGGGACCCATAATGATAGGTATTTAGGAGTCAGCCCATTGACCATTTTGTAATATATACATAATTTATGATAATGTCGCCTGTCAGACAATGAGCAATAACCCGTTTCCCTGTAAAGCTTTTAAGTGACTAGTTCCTCGTACTGCTCCACATATTGTTGAAGAGCATCCAAGTGTAGGTTTTCTAGCATTTTACTTGTTCTTTGTTACAATTATCCCAAATGTTATCGCAGTAGTCAAATATGGGTAAGATAAAAGATTTGTACATAATTTCAAGCGTTCTTCGATTTAACCTGTATTTTAGACTACGAAGCAATTAATTAGTGGGCTCACTTTACGGACAAGATAATCAATATGTTTGTGCCACTTTCCATCTTCCTGAAGAACCAGCCCTAGGTGTTTATGATCACTTACTTCAGGTATAAGAACATCATTCATTGAAGAGGTAATTTAGGACTAGAATTAATTTTAGTCGAAAATAGCATGGCTTCAGTTTTGGTAGGACTAAATTTCACTTGCCATTTATCAGCCCAGTCTGTTATACGTTCTAAGTCACTATTCAGTATAGCGGTTGAGAATTCAGGGTCTTCAATAATTACATATAAGGAAGTATCATCAGCAAAAGTTTAATATTACTTGTTATCCCGTGAGTCAAGTCATTGATATAAACGAGGAATAACAGAGGTCCTAAAACTGAACCCTGAGGAACTCCAGCTAGAACAGGTCTATAATTTGACATGTAGCCATTAATTACTACGGCTTGTTTCCTATTACTAAGGTAGCTCCCAAACCAATCCAAAAGATAACCGCTTATCCCTGTTGACTTTAATTTTGCTAGTAAACCCTCGTGCCAAACACGATCAAATGCTTTGCTAATATCGCAGAATATAGCACGAACTTCCTTTCCATCATCCAAGGCTTTGGAAATCACATGGTATAATTCAGTTAACTGATAAACAGTTGAATCTCAGGTTTGAATCCCGATTGTGAGGTGGTTATAATATCATTATCCAAGAAAAAAATTATAAACATGCTTAAATACACATTTTTCAAATACCTTAGAAAGAGAACATGTCAAGGCAACTGGTCTATAATTATTGCAATCATGAACGCTACCCTTTTTATAAATTGGAACAACAATAGATTGTTTCCATTGACAAGGAAAACAGGAAAGACGTAGGGATAAATTGAACAACGTAGTAATGGGGCGCACAGAGATACAGCTAATTTTTAAAAGCATGTTGCCAATATTATCTGGACCTTTAGCTTTAGTAGTATTTAAGTTTAATAAAATGTCGTGCACCTCTTTGTTGGACAAGAGCAACTCATTAAGTTTATTTGCAGGCTCATGTAAACTGCAAGTTTCCTTCTCAGGTTCTTCAACTTGGGCTTGTTGAGTAAAGTAATCATTAAATGCATCAGCAATATCACTGGGGTGATCAAGAACCTTCCGTTAGTCAAGATAGGAGGAGACTGTTTATTTGGATTTGTATTGTGCTGTATATATTTTTTTTTCACTAGAAGCCACCATGATTTAGAACCACATTCAGAATTAATACTATCATCTAGTTTCATATCATATGCTGGCGTTTAGCTTTCCTAACCGGAGTTGACTTTGTTTCGTGCTACTCTGAAGCTCCCAATCTACCGGTAAATTTCTCTTTTTAGCGTTTTTATGCATCTGATTTCTTTTCCTCATTAGCTTACGCCAAGTGGCCATTCATCCAAGAGCAATCCCGGTCTAACAACAATCTCTTTATGGGGTATGTACTGATCTATCAAATGTAATAATTTTGAAGTAAATAGTGAAACAGATGTATCAATATCACTGTGGTCAGTAATATTTCCCCAATCAGTAGCAGCAATGCAATCACTCAAGCCATCATAATCTCGTGGATATAATCGTATTTAATTAGCTTATAAGATTCCTTACGTGGCTTTCCAAACTTGAGGGAGACAAATACTGGACTATGATCACTGCATATTGGAGGAGAACACCTGATTCATGTACAATGCTATAAGCAGAAGTAAAGATAAGATCAAGCAAAGAAGTTGTGGTATCTGTTATTGCTGTAGGTTCAACAACAAGTTGTGTTAGGTTGTAGACTATAACCAGGGTATTTAGAGTTGAAAACATTATATACATTTTATAAATATTTAAAGAAAATTTGAAGTTAAGTTCAGAAGGGTAAATGTACTGGGAAAGTGCGTTGACCAAGCTAACTGAACTGTTATTGATTCACTTTTCTTGGGGAATAACAAATTCTCTGAATTGACATCAATGAGGGTGAAACGTTCAAACTGGTGTTTATACACAAATTGGGTGGATGGACATTTGGGATACAGATGGTCAGTTTGGTCAGTTTGTCAATAAAGGAGCATGCATAGGAAATGAAATGATTTGATTAAGTATCTACTAGTCTGAGATATTAGTCGGATATGTCAACGTTGGGTTGATGTATGGCTTAAGGATAACTAGAAATGTCATTTTATCACTGGAAGAAATTGATGGTACCAAATAAAGTCTCCGAAAGGGACTAATGAAAGTAACTAATTATCAAGATTGGATATGAGTCATTTCTGTAGGAGGTAGGACATCATTTCGGGGGGAGGAGCCCAGAAATTGTGAAGAGAACTAAAACTATCTGACTGAGAGAGAGCGGGAGAGACTGAGCCCTGCCGTTGACTTGAGAGGTTCTCTCTGCATATTGAGAGATTGGCTCAGATGAAATTGTAACTTTAGGAATTGGGAAAGAAACCAACAAGTTCTTCCAGGAGATGTGTGAATCTGTGTTACATGTAAACCAGGACATCTAGGAAATATTTGAGGACCTTTGTGAAAGAATTCATGTTAAAATAAACAGGACTTGAACACCATACTGGACTTATCATTGATTATCCATCTAGCTACATCATCCCCAGAACCAGAGTGGCTAGACAGATTGCCTAGGGAATAAGGGTACAACACCCCGAAAACCTAAGGTAATAAATGGTGGAGATTGCTTTAAGTTCTCTGTACCGTGCTCAAATTTTTCATGGTGTGTGAAAAGTTATGATTCTGTTGGACTTGCAACTAATGAGGAGAGGTACGTGAACTGTTTCCATCTGCTATGGGTATGTGCTATGTGGACCTGGAAGAGACTGTTGTCATTCATGGTAGGTTATGTCCTGATTTACTGTAAAGGGGCATTTTGCCTTTCAACCATGTGAGGACCTCTCCCCAAGCCTGACAGTGAACATTAAATCTGTGGGCCCCGGGACTTATTGATTCCAGGACAGTGTGGTCACTACCACTACAGTGTTATTGATTTCCTGGTGTTGGACAGTTCAGCGGGACAGACCCCCAGCAGCCTACTTGTGTGATTAGTAACTTTCTTCACTGTGCATAGATTGTTTAGCTTGTGTACTGTGATACTCTGATTTTTATCTATCTTGTGACTATTGTTTGTACTCATTATGTGTTATATCACGTCATGTCATCTGATGATGAGGGTACAGTAGTTAAGTTTTCTACTCCCATTAACCATTCCAATGCCTCTCTTGATTTGCCAGCATTCTCACCAAGTTTTGCTACTTTAACTGAGCCAGTTGTTAGATCTCCTATTAGAGACAGAGGTGCATCCTTTATTTCACCAACTTCTCAGAAAGAGTTAGATTGTTTTGGAGAGTCTACTGTTGACACAACTGTTAATTTCAAAATGCTGTATGTCAATGAAGAGAGTGGAGTGACTAAAGTTAAGAAAGAGGGTCAGTCTAGTTTCTTTTCACAGTATTGTGACGATAACCCAAACAACTAGACAGAAGTGTTTGTACATTGGCTAATACCTTGGCCCTTGGTCACATCAATCTTGAGAAATTTGATGGTAGTGAATCAGCTAAGGCCAGTGCTTGGTTGAAGCGTTATGAAAAGTTTACCTCTCTGAACAATTATTCTGATGAGGGTAAGAAAGAAGCTTTCAGTTTGTGGTTAGATGGCAAAGCTTTCAAGTGGTTTGAGGCAAAGGATTTTGAAGA